TCCAAACAACGCCCAGAAAAGTCCAAAAAACATCATCGTAAGAGAGCCTGCTCTTAAACTTGTAGAGCAGGCTCCAAACAACAATGGAGTAGGCTCCAAAACTTCTTGGAGCCGACTCTAAAGGGGTAGAGCCGGTTCTACTCTTGGGGGGAGCCGGTTTCCTCTTCCATGGAGCCGGCTCTCTCCCTCTCTGAGAGCCTGAACCTCCTCCGGCCTTCTGCTTCGTCTCCGGCCGCTTCCACCCCTTCTGTTCATGGTAAAAACTAAACCTAAGGGTCTAAATTTTATCTTATATCGTCCTAGTTATTTATTTAAAGTAGTTTGCATTAAAAAGAACCATACAAACTATTACCGATTTAACATGCTTACGAATAAACACTGAGATACAATTTCAACAACAAATTCCAATCATAACTAAACACATACTGGCTAATATTCTAACATATATTAAACATGCAAAATATATTTAATGTCCAATTAAAATCCTAGAGATCATCTAGGTGTGTACAGAACACAAGCCAACGGGAGAGAGGAAGAAAAGAACTTGCCTGTGATTTCAATTATGAAATCCCGGCGTCGTCTCTAAATTTTTGGCAACCACTAAATACCTTCAAGCCTCCTATGGTTCTAGTTTAATCCACAACAACACTCCCTTGGTCCTCTCTGTTTTTCTCCTTGACAACCCTTACAGTGCCTCCATTCTCTCAACCCTCTATTTTATGTGAATAGAACTATGTTTATGTTTGTAAAACCCTAAACCACCGTAATATTATATTTATAGGCTTAGAACAATAAAAACCCTAATCCACATATAATTAGAGACAGAGCCCTAATGTAAATCCTAGTCGGCCACAATGTGCATTCTAAAAGAAAATAAACCCTACTGTTTAACACTATTACTATTACTAATTTAATACATTATAACTGTTACTAATTTAATCTAATTACACAAATTAAATCCAATAAAACATTTAATTAAACTAAGTTACACATTAAAATTAATAACACTAAAGTAATCTAATTAAAGAAAATACAAAAGACACTTAAATCAAACAATTCAATTAAAGAAAACAAGAAATCAATTAATGCAATTTAAATACATAATTAAACAACTAAATCAAATAAATAATTAAAATCATTAAACAAATAAACAAATAAGCAAATAGTCACACAAAAATGTAATAAAACAATAATTAAAATGCCGAGACTATCCTTTTAAAATTAGGGGTATTACACGACTCATGCAAACCAGTCGACGAGTGCCTTGAACTGGTTGACGTGTGCCTGGGCTGTTCTTCTTTTCCGGCTCTGACGACTCCATCCTCCTCTGTTAAGGGTCCTAAGGCTACTGTTTTAAGTCTAGAACAACCCTAAATATTATTTGAACCTCTTATGCATAATTTAAACAAATTATAATCAAGAATTATGCAAGAAATTTCAAAACCCAACAGTTTATACGAACACAAAATACATACTGTAATTTATAAATTTTAGCATGCAAAGCAATTCATTAATTTCAATTAATTATCCTGAAGTTTTCCTAAGTATGTATAGAACACAAGTCTAAGGGAAAGAGATAGAAGCAAAACTTGCCCCAAGATTTCGGATTTAAAATCTTAACTTCTTCTTCCTTAATTCCAATGACCTTTGGGCTGCCTCCGAACTCCTCTGTCGATCCTGGTTCAACCCATGATCAACACTCCTTCCTCCTCTCCTTGGTTCAGCCTTGACTTGGCCAAAACCTCCTTTCTCTCTTTTACGTTCTCTCTCAAAACTCTCCGTCTCTGTGTAATATAACGTGAAATCCCTAAACCTTAGCAGACCTATACTTATATATCTACTATACTCCTAATCCTCTCCCAATTATAATTACCTTTATGGTTAAGAAAGAAAAAGAAAAAAATATAAGTATACGTATATATAAGTTTGCTAATTCTAACGTGGTTCTACATATACATATATAATTATTGATATTATAACTATATATATATATATATATATAATTGACTATAGTTATATTAATAATAATTACTAATAACAATTAATAATTATAATAACCATATATACATACATACCCATATATATATATGTATATCCATCTATGGGTAATTAGCTGTATCTGTTAGCCTCCTATCCAAGTAGTCTATGAGACTCAAATGGATGATCCATTCCTATTATCTATAGCCATTAAAAATAAAATAACATAAACATAAAATAATAAAAAAACCATTTAATTCATAACAAATAATTACACGTAAGCACCTATCATTCAACAATTTAATACACATTATTTAGCACTCAATTTAATTTAAACAAATATTGCAAATAAACATGTAAACAATTTAAATCAATTAAACAAATACACAATTAGCCATATAAACAATTAAATCAAATAAAGTGCAATTAAAACAATTAAATAAATACCAAGATTATCATTTTCAAATTAGGGGTATTACAATGGTCATGTGCATGAACATGACCAACTAGCGTCCAATTCTCATCGGAATAGTCACCGGAGGTGGCTTAGTTGCACATTTTTTATATCTAATATGGATTTATATAAATAAATCTAACTAAAGGGGTGTAATTCACATATATTTTAAATCACAGGGGTGTTTTTTAGACTTTCCCTTATTTTAAAATTCTTGAAAGAGTTATATATCCAAACTAAAAGTGATAGTGTTATTTGCTTAAAAAATAAACTTTAAAAGTGTTTTAGATACTTAGTTCAAAAATAAATAAATAAAAGACCTTTTCTAGCCATTATTTTCTTTCCTTGCTTTCTATAATCTCTTTCGTGCTACACACATTCACTTTCTTTGGATGTGTCCAAAATAAGTTTTTGTTACTCGTATATAAGAACGGTATTAGTCCACTTATATTTGTACGTAAGGACAATACCTAAAACGCTTTTTTTTTAAAAAAAAAACTTATTTTATTATTATTTTCTTTTTGTTCTCCGAATCAACTAAAGATAAAGCAATATATAGAGAAAGAAAATGTTTGCAAAAAGATGGAAGTATTTTTTTCACTTTTATTTGCACTTTTTTTTTTCTCATCACTTTTATTTGTACCATGAATTATCAATATATATATATATATATATATATATATATATATATAGGGCATGTAAAAGCTAGTATCCCCTCTCTTAAATCCAACTTCCATGGAAATCGAATCTCCAAGGTGCTTCAAACTCAAATCTTCTTCTATAAAAAATGAGGAGGAAGAAGAAAGGAGAAGCTTTCTTTTCTTGGCCACAACCAAAATCCTAACCTAGGTGCCTATACATGGTGAGAGATAAATCCATAGATATGGAGAGAGAAAATGATGAAGACAATGAAGAAGATGTCTTCCATCCCCTATTTATAGTACACCACAAAACTATGTGTAATCACACAACTTAATCCCAAAACTTTCAAGTAATCACTCCCTTCCTCCAAGCAACTTCCACTTAAATACACTAAGGTAACATTCCATCACAACCATATCAATTGGGTCCCCAATGATCTTTCATTTAGGCCCTCACCAATCCCGAATACTTGACTCGACCCAGGCTCACATGAACTGAACCTGAAAATAAAAAATAATAATAAAAAAATCCTCGGTCTCTACATGGATTGTGTTAATTTTATTGACACAAAAATTGCCACGTTGAGGGATGCAGGATATGGGTATGGTGATGGAGCAGCCATTGATAGGGTTAGTAAGAAAGAAAGAAGATGGGTAAGTAAAGAAAAAGAAAAGAAAAAGCCTAGGATATCATTGGCTCTAATACCATAAACACAATTTAAGAGTTTGGGTAGAGGAAGTCTCTTTCAATCAATAAATCTGTTACATCAAAATGTGAGTGTATATAGAGAGAGAGTTAACATGATTCTCTTCTATAATCAAGTAATATGATTATATCATACCACTATTACAAAAAATTTTTAAATTCAAACTCTAACAGTTATTTGAATCTAAACTTTGGAACATGATACACTCCCTATATCTGGCACAATAATCTAATATAACACAAATATTACTAGGAAAATGAGCAATTCTGAAGGTGCACTTTCATTATAAACACTCCAATCACTTTTCAAAATTAAGAACTAATAAATCAAAGAGAGGTCTGAAAATATGATGTAGCAAGAATTATATGTTATTAAGAATTACATATTGAACCCAAAAATGGATAAAAAAATCTATCACAGGTATAGGCTATAGCTCTGGCTTTAACTATATAACCTTAATGTCGCGTTTGATGTGTAAGAATGGAATGGAATGCCTAGTCCAACCATTTTTTTGTTGGTATGCAATTTAAAGTGGGAATGGCCATTCCATTAGAATGAAAATCTATTCCATAACTAAACCTATAGAATGGCCATTCCATTCCCAAGTAAATTTTTTTAGAAAATCAACTTTCAAAAAAATCTTCATGTTCTAAGTCCAAAAATGACCACTATCTTACTCCACAACCACTACCATTGCTTTCCACCACCACCACCAACTTTCACCACCACCCACCACTTTCCACTACCACCACTGTCTTTCACCACTGACACCGCCTTCATTTCCCCTGACCATCGCCACCAGCACCGCCTTTCACCACTGCCACCACCTTCCACTACCACCGTCGCCGCCATCACCTTTCACCACCTCCCACCACCATCATCGCCTTTCACTACAGCTACCGCCTTCCACCACCACTGTCGCCACCGCCTTTCACCATTGCCACCACCGCCGCCATCTTACACCACCACCGCCGCCGCTGCCGCTACCACCACCATCGCCTTCCACCACCTTTCACCACCTTCCACACCGCCACCGCCTTCCACCACCATCACCGCCGCAACCGCTTTTCGCCACCGCCACCGACTTACACCACCAGCACTGCCCCCTCCTTCCACCACCGTCGCCGCCTTCCTCCACCACCTTTTACCACCACCACCTTCCACCACCGCCGTTGCCATCACCACCGCCATCGCCTTCCACCACCTTTCACCACCACCGCCGCCGCCACCACCTTTCACCACCACCGCCGCCGCCTTCCACCACCACCGCCTTCCACCACATTCCATCACCACTACCGCTACCGCCTTCCACCAATGCCACTGCCACCGCCACCGCCTTCCACCACCGCCACCTCCATTGTTATAATATCCCTAATTTTAAAAGGATAGTCTCGGTATTTATTTTATGGTTTTATTGCATTTTTAAATTCATTATTTGATTATTTGGTTTTTTGTTTAATTGTTTAATTGGATTATTTGTTTTAATTTAAATTGTATGCTTATGTAATAATTGAAGTATTGAAGTAATTGTTTATTTGATTTATTCTTAAATAGTGTGTTTGCTTACATGAGTTTATTTGTAGATTAAATATGTTATTTTTATTTTTATTTTAAAAGAATTTTTAACAAGAATAGTAGTAATGTACCAATAATTAGGTCGCATGGACTACTTGAGTGGGAGTTGAGTATGGGTACGGATATTTATCCATATATGGATGGTTGTATATATATTTGAGTATATATGTATATAAGGGTAGAGTATTATTATTATTAATAATTATTTATTATTAATGCTAATAGTAGAAATTTTAGGTTAGTAGGTTATATATATATAAATTGTATGTATATATTTGATTGGATATTATATGTATATGTAATTGTATTTTATTTTATTTTCTTTTCCCTTAAGCTAGCCAACTTAATGTTGGATTGGGATTAGGGTTAGCCTATATTATATATATATGTAAAGTTGTGTCTGCCAAGGGTTTTAGAACCCTATTCATGTAATAGTGGAGGCAGAGAGAAAGAACAGAAAGTTTGTGAGAGAATGGAGAGAGGAGGATGAGAAGGGTTGGCCAAGAACCAAGGCTGAACCAAGGCAAGGAAGAAGGGGTGTTGTTCGCGGGTTGAACCAAGGGCAACAGAGGAGTTGAAAACAATTAAGGGTTGCGAGAAAATCTAAGAAGACGACGTTGAGATTTTTTATCCGAAATCTCAAAGACAAGTTCTTCTTCCAACTCTCTCCCTTAGGCTTCGTGTTCTTTACATGCCTAAAACAATTCTAGGAGTAATTAGACTTTAAATTGATCTTATATGCATGTTGAACCAGATTAAAACAGTATGTGTGTTAATGAAATTTTAATTGCTTGATCGTGAATTTTGTTTCTTGCATGAATACTTGTTTTAATTGGTGTTAATAATGCATAATGGATTTGGGTAATTTCTGGAATAATCTAGGACTTAGTTAGGACCATTAGAGATCTTAACAGAGAGAAACGGAATGATTGGAAGTCGCTGGAGATGAGAACGATTGATGATAACAGGGAGAGAGCTGGCTCCCTCTTAGAAGGAGGTGGCTCCTATGGAGAAGAGGCAGCTTCCCTTAGGAGGGAGCCGGCTCTGTGTGGTAGGGAGGCGGCTCCCTTCTTGAATATTTGTTTTTTTTCGTAGTTGGGTTCTGTTTGGCTATTTGGAGTATTTCTAGTTGTTTAAGTTGCTATGAATGATTTAAATAACTGTTATAGATATGTAAAAATACTTGGAAGCATGATTTACATTAATATGCTAAGGATTTGAACAACATGAATTTCAACAGTAAATCTACATGTTGGTTATTGAATAAATGATTTAATTGCTTACTATTGTTCTAGCAATTTTTCTATGTATGATTAAGTAGTGTTAATCGTGTTTCAGCAATGTAATAAACATAATTAACTATCTGAAAATTATTATGCTTATTTTGGATTAATTGATATTTTAATTTATTATTTACTTCATCAATTATTGGATTTTATGCACCGATATGAGACGGTGGCATATTAGAGACGGATTAGTTCAAAACACTAAGTCTTACCTATTTTATTATAAGGAAATGGATTAACTATAAAAGTTAAATCCTACTTATACTTGTGTTAGGTCAATGAATTGTTGAATGACATATTTTGGTTTTGGATGGATTTATATATATATAATTATGGTGCCATGATATGAGCTTGAGTTTCAGGATTATGGTTAGGGTGTGTATATTGCCTAGGATGGATAATGGGATATAGTAGACATCTGGGTGTCCTGGTAGGTCTAGGTACACATGCCCACTTTATGTGCAATTTGAATGTTACCTTCTATTTAGGTTGAGACAGACCTATAATCCAGTGAACGTCCTATAATGTGTGTATGTATATATGTATATGGACTATTTAGCTATTGTTGAGTTGTCTAGGATGTATATGTGTATCGGGTCTCTATTTGGATTGTAGTAGAGTAGAACTTGTTCGTGAACCTAACCCACTATTTTTTTCAGGTGTTCAATAGTTCCAAGCTTAGAGTTTGTTCGTGCTGAACAGAGACAGTCACTCAATCTTCCGACTACGTAAGACTTTCCTTCATGTTTTAGTTTTGGTTTTCTTTTTAGTTCAGTTATTTTAATTACAATTGGGATATTATTAGGGGTCCATTAGATGGATTCCCGAGTTGTAATAATATCGGAGGTTTTGGAATATTGGATTATTTTATTAATATTTCGAGGATTTATTATTAAGATTTCTTTCAGCTTAATTATTCTTTATTCTTCTTGTATTCTATGCTTGTTTATGTACTTAATTGTTTGGTATCCCTCGGATCTGTACTCGGACTTGATCACCGGTGGCTCTAAAATCGAGGGGTATCTCAATTGCCTTCCACCACCACCACAGGCATCTCTATTGGTTTCCATCACCGCCACCTACACCACTATCTCCTTCCACCACCACCACCTACACCACTATCTCCTTCCACCACCACCAACACTCTAGCCACCGCCTTCCACCACTACTACCTTTCACCAACACCACCGCCTTCCAACACTACCACTTACACCACTATTGCTTTCCACCATCCACCACCGCCATTACCACCATTTATTTTTAAAAAATTATAGAAGAATATCATTTGGTTAATTTTATTTATTTTTTTACTAACAGGGATACTTTGGATAACTCAATTTGAAATTTATTCTATTTTAAATTCAAAATTGGTTCACCAAACACTAGAATAGTTATTATTATTCAATTCCTACACATTAGCATCTCTTATTAAATGGATTATTGAGAAATCAAATATTCAAAGAGTAAATAAAAGTGTGTCATATCTTGGTTAAGGTAATAACTGTAAATCACATTCAATAAATTAATATATATATATATATATAAATAGAAGATATTCAATCTTGTAAGTCGGTCGCGATTGCTCAAAAATGAAAAATCATATTCAGTAGACCACCTAATTAGGTGGGCCTAAGCCTGCTACTAGCTCAAGGAAATCATTATTAGTTTCACATCTTTCATATTTGTGAAGGTGCAAAATAATTAATTAGATTTTTATTTTTTAGCACATAATTTATAAATAAAAATAGTATGAATAAAATAAACACCCTTTTATATTGGTTGATTATAGTAGGGTTTTAAAATTTTAAATTATGAAGTTTCAAGAATAAGAACCAGACTTGTAATTGATTGTAGGACTATCTCTGAATGTATTATATCATGAAGAGTAGGAGAGAGAAGTTTTCTCAACTATCTACTCTATGATTATAAAATAATTCATGAAACAAAAAAATAATAAGTCCAAAATTTGGAATGGATTAAGCTTATTGCCCTCTAATTTGAGCTTCTCTTTTTATTTTAAGTATAAAATAAAAAGAGCCTAAATATAATAAGATTCTTTGAGATTTATAAAGGTATTTAAAATTTATTAAGAAAAATCTGTTAAATCTTGTTTTATACTTGGAAAATATGATAGGACTTCATTTCAAGTGCTTACCACTTGTCTATTCTTGTTCATTCGTTTTCTCAGGGGAGTGCATTCCACTTTGGACAGCTGTTGAGACTAGGACATGGGATTTGATAATAAGTGAATAAAGAAGTTTATCTTTATAAATATTGCCCAGTGTGAATAGAATTCCATCCATGAACGTATAAATAATTTATGACATGACGTGCACGTATCATCTAATATTTATTCTTATTCTGTAGCTTAATTCTGAGTAAATTCAAAATTATAATACAAATGTTGCCTAGCTATTTACGAGGCCTCATAATCATTTATTTTACCCCCAAGTAAAAAAATTTCTTCAATGTCCCACTGGACAATGATTTACAAAGGTAATTATATTCGTTATTGATTATATATATATATATATATATATATATATATATATATATATGTAAAAGCCTCTTAAAATAGTCCATGTTGTAATGGAAAAAAAAGAAAAAAGAAAAAAGAAAGTTCAGGGTTCAATTCTCAAAGGGTGTGAAAATAATATGTATGGTTTGCGGGTGATTGCACATGCAGTATTCGAAATTTACAAATCATCTAAAAGTTCAAAGTAATTAACGTGTGATTTGATTCTTTGTTACAAAATAATAATAATAAGAAATAAATAAATGAACACCATCTCCATGTACAACATTGTGATTTTGTTTTTATTTTTATTTTTTTTTAATAAAGTATTATTCTAGCTTTAGGATTTGTATGAACATAAAGCTTAATATATATATATATATATTTGACGACAAGTAGACAAAACGTTCATTTTACATGGCCCGCATTTTTACGCATTAATTTATTCTAATGCCATGAGGGCATTACAATCATTTTAAGTCTGAAGGGGGAGTATTTGCAGCAAATCGATAGTATAGGAATTTTAAACTATCCAGTGACTTTTTTTGTGGATAGTATAGAGATTATTTGCATTTTACCCTTTTTTTTTTTATATAGACAAATAAAAATAAGTGAAATTTCACCATTTTAATAATAAAATTCACGGTTGAAAGTGAACAAAATTTCAATAGACGTAGAAAAAAAAAGGTTGTTGAGATAATTTTGATATGAATGAGTATTCGATCATTAGGGCTACTTTTTTTTATTAGATTGACTCCCTGTAATGACCTGAAATCTAATAAATTTCTCAATTTCATCAAATTATAAATGCATCAATATACTCCAAAGACCATAAAAAAATACCCTATTTTATATAAAAATCAATTCCTCCGTGTAAAGTGGCCGATACATCGCGTATGGACGATACAGCGAACCATAGTTTCAACACAAGTTTGATTAAACTTATTATATAATCAAATTCAATTTGCACCTAATTTTTTAAATTTTGAATTAAATAAAATAAGTCAAAAATTTAAATTACGAATCAGATTAAATTAAACATTTGACAGAAGTAAGCCTTTAAAGTTAGCTATTGTTATACGATAATAAATAGATCAAACAAAAGAAAAGAAATGTTAAGGAGAATTGCAGTTGAATTTCTAGGAAAGATTATAAAAGAAATTACTTGATTCATGATTAGTTAGATCACAAATCAAATACTAAGAAACTTATCAAAAAAAAAAAAAAAAAAATCAAATACTAAGAAGAATTCTAAATGGAAACTTTGAAAAGTGGTGTTCTAAGTTCAAATAACAGTGCACATAAAGATTTGGAGAATATGAGAATGTCTAGGCGTACAAGACGAATAAGAAACATATAAAATCTATCACCAGGTTAACTAAACACCACAAAAAAGCAATGGTCTTTATTTATTTATTTTTTGGTAAGTCAGTATATATTAATAAAAAAGAAAGATGTACAAGGCTAACCAACTAGCCCACAAAGGGAAACAACAGCCCGAAGGCAACCAAGGTAAACACAGCCCAAGGAAAGAACTCACTCGGGGCCCAACCCAAAAGGCCCAAAGGCAAAAACAACCCTTCCCTCCCCAACGCTCAGAATCAAAGATTCAAAACATGGAAGGAGAACAAACAGAAAGCAACATCAATCAGGTGTAGTCTCAGTAGCATTGATCAAGCTAGGGAGCCCCTATTCAGCAGCAATGACTCGCGAGCTGGTGGAGTCCTTAGCTTTGATAGAGAGGAGATGAGCACGAACACAATCCTCGATAATCTTCCACATACTGGATGTACCTCACAGTAATACGAAATCTACGTGTTAATGAATAATATCAACCATCAACCATCATGATTACAAATCCATTGGCCACCATCACTATTAGACTTACCATCACTTCCAAGAACTTTTTCCTTTTTTCTGGCATTCATTACTATTGTGGTTTTCGATCATGTCTTGCAAAAGACCAAATGTGAACATTACTCATACAGTTTTAAGATATTTAAGTTGTTCAAGATGCATACGTTTTCCTACCTGCTTGCTGTGAGGTACATAAACAACAAATGACCTGCTCAATTAACAGCAAAGTTCTCGCTCTCCTACACACACACACGCACACGCACACGCATATGGATTTTTTCAGAAAGCAACAGTACTATTCATGAACTGCAAATATGAAAAAATTACTGCTGCTTTTTAAATAAGTCAAGTCCTTCAATTTTTAATTAATGGACCATTTTAAAACAATCATGTATCTGGCAGGCCAGCAGAAATTTCCCTTCCCTACAATTTATCAATTTCATCTGCAATATTAAAGGAATTTAATTGTGTTTTGGTTTCTCTTCATTTCACTGCAGGCACGGATGATGACCTTCCTCCAAATCGAAATAGATTTCCAAGCAGGGGTCGTGCTGTTGCAAATGGAAGATCTGCAGTTATAGGTTCTGCTCCACTCCCTTGGGTGCATAGTGATATGGAGACCCAGATCCACCAGATAGAGCAAGAAGCGTATAGTTCAGTCTTGCGAGCCTTTAAAGCTCAATCTGATGCCATTACTTGGGTATATATTATTATTCTTTAGTGTAATTTGTTGTATTTAATTTTTCTAAAGTATGTTGATTAGGTTTAAACACCTTTCATGTCTTCTTTAGGAGAAAGAAAGTTTGATTACAGAACTCAGAAAAGAGCTGAGAGTGTCTGATGAGGAACACAGAGAGCTTCTATCCGGGGTTAATGCTGATAATGTCATCAGGAGGATTAGGTTTGATAATATCATGTCCTTTTGCTGAGAATGGTTCTTTAGATATCTCATCATGTTTGGTTAGTTATTTGTTCTAATAGGAATTCATCATTAGGGAGTGGAGAAAAGCAAATGGGCTCCAACCTGGCATGCTCAATAGTAGCCAACCTATTCATGAACCCATGCCTAGTCCAACTATTTCAGCATCGCACAAGAAGCAGAAGACATCACAATCTGTAGCTTCTTTATCGTTGGGTGCACCAACACCAGCATTGTATACATCCATGCAGCCTTCTTCAGCAGCCTCAGAACGAGGCCCTTTCTTAGGAGCAAGGGGCAAGAATCCAAAATTAGTAAGTTAATTAAAGGTTTTCTATAATGACAATGAAATGATGTGAACTATATTTTACATTATTGTCTGTTTTTGGTTAACAAGTTAGACGTATGCTGCATCCTGAATCAAGTCCATGCAGTATTCTTCTACAGGTTTCACTGGAGGGCCCCAAGTTCGAAAGCGGGGTACAGGTTCTCTTGATGTAATTGAACCTGCTGAAGCAACAAATTTTGATCCACTAATTGGAAGGAAAGTTTGGACAAGATGGCCTGATGACAATAACTTCTATGAGGCTGTTATAACTGACTACAATCCTGTTGAGGTATGTGTCATTTGTTGACTACACAATGTTACAGGATTTAGTGGGTGTTTGACTGATTTTTGCAAACATTGGCAGGACCGTCATGCTCTGCTTTATGAAATTAATTCAGCGGATGAAACGTGGGAATGGGTCAATCTCAAAGAGGTAAAGATAGATATAACTTCCATCTTTATTAAATTTTCTTGTACTATCGGAAATATATTTAGTTGGTATGAAAGAATTTGACAACATCATTATGCTTTGAGATATGGAATTTTTGGAAATGGTTGCATCATTTCTCTACTATTTTTGTTGAATTATTGTGAATCTTTAGTAATGGCTTTATGTGAATGCCACCTGCATGTTTGTTTATAGGCTTGTTTTTCTGTAAGTATTATTTTATGCCTTACTAGTTCTTTTCATTTTTTTTTTTTTTTTTTTTTGGACACACATAACATCATCCTTCATTTTTTCTAGTAGGTCCTTGATATATATATATATATATATATATATATATATAATTAAAATTGACTGCATAACATCTCACTCACTTTTAAATTTACTTTGTTTTTCATAAGTTTAAGCAATAGAATAAATAAGGTAATCACAAAATGGGCCTATGGTAGGCCCAGGTAGGTTAACTCAAAAGAGCATCCCTACAAAAGATAACAAGCTGCCCATTGGCTCAAAACAAGGTCAAGAATTCGACCACAGAAGACCCATATTATTCTTTTCAATTTTATGGTTAACTCATCTTAAAAAAACTATGCATATTGTGTGTAATCGATGGATCATTTGCCCAATGGTAAAAAAACCATGTGTTTGTTACCCTTTTCTTTGGCCATATGTTAAGAGTTTTTTTTTTTTTTTTTTTTTGGGCCATTTTTGTCTTTTGCAGTCTTCCACATTGTAATCTAAATTTGTTCAAGAACTAAGATACGCTCGTGGGTTTGAAGTTTGCGACTTCTTGTTTCATGCCCTCTACAGCAATGTTAATATTATGTGTCTCAGATAGATTTTGTTTGTATCTGCCAAGATGGAATTCACTTGTTGTAAACTACTCGAATCCATTAATTGTTGTAATTCAAATAAACCCATATTATGAGAATGAGAATAGATAAGAACTTGTTGGCTCTAGTTTAGGTTTACTGAGGAAAACTTTAACTTCTTAACATTATTAGAATCTAAATAAATTGTCATTCTTACTTTTTTATTTTAATTTTTTTTTAATAGTCACATTGTCATAATTGTTGTAATTCAAATAAACTCATATCATGATTAATATAGTTATGGCATTGCACATATTATCATCATCATAACATGGTGACCAATACAGTGACATAGTCATTATTGTCGTAATTATAATTGTTATACCAATGCACATGCTATTTGTTGAGAAACGTGCAAGTTTTAAAAACTTTTTAGGCAAAAGTGCAAAAAACCTCCCCTGAACTATCAGAAATCGGCATTTTACTCCCTTAAACTACAAAAATGAAAAAGTCAGTCCAACAACTATCCAAATCGTGCAAATTAACCTCTAAAAGTCAATTTCGGCAACTTTCCGGCCGACTTCATTATAAATTTACAAAACTATCCATTGTAATTAAGAAAAAAAAAAATACCAAAATAACTAATCAACGTGAAATACCTTTAATGCCCCTCAACAAATTTTTATTATTTTACCCAAATGCATCTCATCCTCTCACCATCCACTTCACCCCCTCTCTCTCTCCACTCACTCTCTCTCTCTATATACGTACACGACCGCTACCACCACCATGAGCAACTCATCTTCTCTCTCTAAAATGCCGATTTGTAACTGCCGCCATCAACTTCCACCTGCAACTCATCTTCTCCGGCGACCACATATATATATACACATCATCATCATCATCATTATGCCCTCTCTATATCACTCTTATATCCATTCCCATTTTTTCTCTCTATCACTTTCTCTCTCTATATCACCACCACCTCTTCTTCAAATTCTGTCACTCTAACCACCCACCACCATCACTAACACCCCCTAGCACCACCACCCCACCCAAAACCAAACTGCACCCGAACCAACATCTTCATCACCACCACCCACCTAAAACCAAACCCAAAAATACACAAAATCCTTTCCCATCACAATATTATATACACGTGTGTCTATATATATTTATTTATTTATTTATTGTGATACCCCTCAATTCTAGAGCCATGGGTGATCAAATCCGAGCACAGATCCGAGAGATACCAAACAATTAATATGTACAACGAACACAGAATACAAAACTGAATGTAAAAATAAATATTAAAGCTAAAAGAATTCTAATTACAAAATCCTCAAAGGTTATTATTGTAAAACCCATAATCCAAAACCCTCATTTATTTACAACTTGGGAATCCATCTAGTGGACCCCTAATAAAATCTCAAATCGTAATGAGAAGAACTGAACCAAGTCCAAAGCTAAATATAGAAAGTAATCCTACATAATCGGAGGAGTGAGTGTCTGTATCTGCTCTGCACGTCCAAGCTATAACCCTGGAACTGAAGAATACCTGAAAAATAAAAGAATAGGTCAGGCCCACATGCAAGTCCTATTCTACTACGATCCATATATAAACCCGATACGCAGATACATCCTAAATAGACTCAACAATATCTAGAGTAGTCTATATATGTATAAGTACACACTATAGGACGCTCACTAGTCCAATAGGTTTGTCTCAGCTTGAGTAGAGATACCATACAAATCGCACATGATGTGGTCATGTGTACCTAGACCTACCAAGGAACAACACCTCTGTCCTGTCCCATACCGGTGTATAGACATCCATAAAAGTAGGACTTAACTTTTTTTTTATAATTAATCCAACTCATTCCAAAATAGGTAGGATTTAGTGTTTTACTAATTCATCCCTAGTATGCCACCGTCCCATAGCGGTGCATACAATCCTCTAAATAACATACTTGTTAAAACAGTAATTGTGTCTTATCAACCATTAGCCAGGATATGCATAAATACAGTTCAATACATATATTAGGGCATTAAGCATTCATGATAGAACCTAAAAATCACTTTCCGAAATTTAAATTGCTAACATGAGTTATAGCATTTAAATCCTCTACATAATCCAGTAATTGACACAACTAACAGAATATACGTATCAATTTATTTCAAACCAAGCATAGATGATTTCAAGAGGTTACTATGCTTATACTATGTTTAAACATAATTAAAATGTATAAAATTTATATACAACAGAAGCTTCAAAACCTAGCACATAAGTTAATTAACCACAACAGTGTGCCATTTATAGGTTTTTCCCTAAATCCATCTCACTCCATCCCTTAATCCAATTAATACTCGTAAATTTACAAAGGATAGTTCTGGAATTTCATTAATTCTTTTTACTTGCATTATTTGATTGTTTAATTGCATTAATTAGTGTTATGTGATTTATTTGTAATTTAATTGCATTATTTTATTTATTTGTTGGATTAATGTGATTACTTGTTTAATGGTATAAATAAATTGAATTAATTATTTTGTGGCATTTAATGTTTTCATTACCTGAATTTTATTTGAAGAATTTAATTAAATGTAATTGGTTGCTAATTTAACGTGATTGTAGGGTTGGTTGCACATATATAGTTTTCATAGGCAGCCGACATTGTTTTACCTAGGTTTGCCTATGGGCCGAATTATATATGGATTAGGATTTAATGTCTAAGTTTATAAATAGGTGTATTACAGTGGTTTAGGGTTTAAAGAAACAACAAAACAAAAATGTAAGTTTCTGTGTGGAGGTATAGAGGTAACAGAGACTTGTGAGAGAACTAAATGATAGAAAACGGAACAAGGCTTAGGAGGAGAACAGAGAGGACCAAGGGTGAGTAGTGGTGGATTAAACCAAAACCATAGGAGGTTTGAAGGTGGTCAGGGGTTGTTGGAAATTAGGAAGACGGCGCGATACAGTTTTGAAACCAAAACTATAGGCAAGTTCTTCTCTTTCTATTTCTCTTTAGCTCTTGTTCTATGCACCTAGATAATCTCTAGGGTTTAATCAATCAGTAACTGGAATTTACATGTTTAATATATGGTATATTAATGATCTGTTTATGTTAAAATCAAAACTGTTACAATTTTTACATGTCTCGTTCCAATTATTTTCTATAAGCATGTTAACTCTGTTGTAACTTTAGACTTTGTAATTGATTTCAACTACTGCAAACAAACCATGGGGATGTTACTGGGATGAGATAAGATCCTTAGGTTCAGTGGTGAAGAGGAACAGAGGGGTTGGAATAGAACTGAAATTTCTTAAATTAGTTTCAGTGTTGTTTTTCAAGCATGCTAGTTTAATGGCTTTGTTTAATCTCTGTAATTGATTTCAAATTATAGTAAACAAATCTTGGGGATGATTCTAGGCTTAAATAAAACTCCTAAGATCAGTTTTAAAAACCAACAGAGTGATAGGAATAAGCCGGAGAAGGAGCAGAGAAGCTGAAACGAAGCACCGGGGACTGAAGGCTCTCAAAAGAGGTGAGAGCCGGCTCCATAGAAGTGGGAGCCGGCTCCCACACAAGTAGGGTCGGCTCTAAGACTTCTAGAGCCGGTTCTAGGCTCAAAAGAGCCTGCACTTCAAAAATTAGAGCAGGTTCCCTTCAGTTTATGCATTATGTTATTTGTTTTTACGAACTGTTTGTACTGTTAAGCTTGGAAACTATTCCTAATGGGTCTAGGTCTTCACAGAGGGACTAAGAAGTTGTTTTTGGGTGTTATTAAGACCCTAAATTAATTAAAGTTTAATTCTAAATTGTTGGGATTAACAGTATACAGTTAATTAATATTCTATGCGATTAACGGATGGAAGACAAGATAATTGCTTAATTAAATTACAGCAATTAAACGGGATTTAATGTGTTTATAAAACTTATTTTAAATGCGTGGTGAAGTCTTTTAATTAACAAATTGGACTTGTAGCATAGTGCATGGCTCTGTTTTAAAAGATAAAACAGAATACTAGTGTATAACTTAGTACGCTGTTACCGGATAGAAAGAACTAAGTTGCTTAAATTAATTTAGCAATTTATTGGACTATAATATGATTATAGAATTCATTTTAAATGCATGATAGAGTCATTGATATACTAGATTTGATCTATGCCTGCTCTGGATGCTAGTTGTTGAACTATTAAACCGTTTCCAGGAATTACGTGGTTTAATTCTTGGATTTAAATTGCTGAAACTTTAAACACTTTTCTACAATGATTTGGATATTGGTTTTAGACTGTAAATTACTAGCATATTATTTATGTTTTGTAATTTACATGGATATGGAGGATTGTATGCACCGGTATGGGATGGTGACATATTGGGGACGGTTTAGCTCAAAACGCTTAAACCTACCCTAATGGATTAAAGGATGGATTGAAAAATATTGAATCCTATTTGTGACTAAGTCAGATCAACTGCGACTAAGTTGAATGGCTTCCTGGATTAATGGATGGTAGTTAAGTCATATCAACTGAATAAGTTGAAAGACTAACTAGTTTGTTTATTGTATGTCAGTTCAATAAATATTTGAACTACATACCCTGGTTTTGGACGGACTTTATATATATGCTTATGGTACCACGAGATGAGCTTGAGTCTCAAACTCGTTGGTTATGGTGCGTATATGCAGTGGATGCGTAGCTGGTTATAATAGGTTGAGGTGTACCCTGTTAGGTCTAGCTACTCATGCCCACCTTTGGGTGCATTTTTGTATGTTGCCTTCTATTCAGGTTGAGACCCTTATTATAGACCAATGAATGTCCCTTAGTGTGGATATATTTATATGTATGGACTAGATAGATATTGTGAGGTGTCTACGGTGTATCTGCGTATCGGGTCACTGTATGGATTGCAGTTAGATTAGAATTTGCTCGTGGGCCTGACCCACTCCTTTATTATTCTTTTCAGGTATCGGACGATTCCAGTCTCAAGCTTGATCGTGCTAAGCAGAAACTCTCATTCATTCTACCGACGATGTAGGATTTCATTTCATGATTTAGTTTTGGAATATCTTTACTTTCAATTACTCAGTTTCAGTTGAAGTTTGGCTTAGGGGTCTACTAGTTGGATTCCCAAGTTGTAACCTTGAAGGTTTTTGGAGGATTAATTTATTATTTATCATTGGAGGATTTTACATTTAAATTCTTTATTTTTATATTCTGTGTTCGATTTAAAATACTTTAATTATTTGATATTCCCTCGGGTTTGGGCCTGAGCCTGATTAACCCGTGTCTCGGATCCGAGGGGTATCACAAATTATGAATTAATGTTTTCCCCTACTGTTACAGGTCTATTACAGTCCCATACACTATTTAAAACAGTTTAAACCAATCGAGAAAAACCTATTCAGTCCAACTAGCCCCTAAGTGTCAAAACTGGACCATTAAAAATGGAGCAGGCTCTTTTAAACATTGGAGCCTACTCTAATTCACCTAGAGCCGGCTCTAGGACCTTGAGAGCCGGCTCCACTTCTTTGGGAGCCGGCTCCAAGGGTTTTGGGAGCCTGCTCTCCCTCCCTTGGCAGCCGTCGTCTGTTTTCACCTTGTCTCCTTCGACTCCGGTGATTTCCAAGCCTTTGTAATGGGTTTAAATTCTTGTTCCAGTGTACGTTTAACATTCCAGATAAATTACTAGGCAACCATATGAATCGTTGATCTCAAATAAGCAAGAATTAAACATGTTTACAGAAGAAACCAACTAATAGAAACCTAAAGAATTTTGGTATATCAGT